GTGGGAGTGGAGTATGCTTGCTCTCAGTTCTTTCCTTATCCGTCGCCAGTTCCCAGGAATCCGTCAGGTGAGGAGGGGCCTGGGGACCACAAATGAGCTCACCCCCGTTGTTACTGGGCTTGAGCTGAGAAACTCCCAAGCAAAAGGGACTAAAAAATTGTCTCTTTACAGTGCTTGCTCATTGAATGCAAATTTCCCACTCAGGGACTGATAGTTTGACTCTGCCTTAGCTCTTATACAATACGACTTTAATCTCATTTTAGATGTCTGGGTTCTGCGGGATGCTTTCATCCCACAGAAGATTTCATTTCTGATCATTTCCGATAGGTCTCTCATTTGAATTTGCCTTTTCCTCCTTTTAATACTGTGCCATAGTCCTTTCACATCTAGATTTCGTACCGTAGCGCTATTTCTTGGTGGAATGTTGCCACAGTGGGTGTTAATGATGAAGATGTCAGAATTGTATCCTAAATGATAGTAAAATTCAAATAAAGACTCCAGGAGAAAATATGCCTATAAATATTTTAAAAAGATCTCTTTTGGGGAAGCATTATTTTTTTTCTCTCTCAGCAAAAGGAAATGTTGATTGATACAAATACCTTAGGAGATGCATTTTCTTGTTGAACATGCCGTCATAAGAAATAGTCACATAAATCTTGCTTGTCAGAACTCCCACAGTGGTCAGCGTGCTGGATAAAAGGGGCTTTTGGCTCTCCTTTCCTGTGTGAATGTTTTATTTAGGTCTGCCCACCGTGGTGAATGTGATGGTTCTAATAGCACCCCAGTCCATCTAACTCAATTTCTTTCTCTCCGTCAAAAACTCTAAAATGATGATGATTTCAAAGACGGAGATTAGTTGTGTTTCCACCACAGGAAACGATGGAGGTATTACTGAGATGGGATCTGAGTCAGAGCTTCAAATACTGGCCTAGTCTCCTTTAAGTTTCATCTTGTGTACAGGACAGGAGTGAGATTCTGTACGAAAATATGCTTCTGTGAGGCCCAAGGAAACTGGAGCAAACCATCCATATTCATCCTTCCTTTGGGGGACATTCCTGCTCAGCATGTTCAAATATTTGGGATCAATGTAAAGATTTGAGCTCAGCTCTCAAAAGGCTCCAGGTCACTGGCTGAGAGCTGTGTTTTCTTAGGACTAAGGCTCTGCCTCCTTGCACACTGAGATATGATACTGTATTTGACAGAGATATCTTTTTCTGCCTTGGGATAAAATATAAATGTTTCTCATTATCTATTTGCCCCCCCTCTTTTTTTTGAAAAACAAAACAAGCAAACAACCAGCATCGTTAACAACAAAAAGTGAAGAAAATGAATTTTGGCCATTGCATCCAACCTGCTTGGATGGGTAAACATTATCTGGTCCTGCACCCCCCAGTTCTGAAAGCACCTGTCAGACCTTAAGGGGGCACCCTTCATCCATTCCTCACCCTTGAATTCACTTGTGAGCAGGGGTGGGGGCTTGCATGTGTGGATTCCTTTTGGAATAGTCAAAGGAGGTTGGCTTCTTTCTCTTGTTATCGAGACAGCACTCTGGTTACAGAGCGTGAACTCGACTATGTGTTATCTCCTGCTCCTTGAGCTCTTGCTACCTGTTGAGCAAAATCAATTTTTAAATTAGCTTTTTTCCAAATGCAATTACTTCTCTTTACAACAGTTCTATGAGCTAGGTGCCCCTCCATTTTCTTTCCTTTCTTTCTTTCTTTCTTTCTTTCTTTCTTTCTTTCTTTCTTTCTTTCTTTCTTTCTTTCTTTCCTTCTTTCTTCCAGTAAGAAATACAGGCTGCTAGTTGCGTTAGCCCCCAGTTGGATTCAGAGCCAACATTTGAATCCTGATCTGTCTGACATCAGTATCTCTTCACTACATGCTACACTGGCTGAAAATATAAATAACAGTTGATGACTGAAGGCCTGGAAAAGTCAACAGAAAATGAGATTCATCTCCCGGGTCAGAGGGATTAAACCAGAAGCTGGAAGGCTTTATCTGCTCCAGTGTGGCAGGGCCTCCTTTTAATGACTTCCCCTTGCAGGCGAAATTCTCTGGAAGAATGCTGTTGACAGCCTTCAATGCACCATAAATAACACCCAGGTGCTCGGGAGGAACCCTCTCCTTACCCTCCTGGGTGCTTTGCAAAGGCCTCAGAATTAACCCTCTCAAAACCAACCAAGCTACCTCTCCCCCAGACTGAGTGGCTCACAATGGATGGCTGCTTTGCAACTTCTCTAGGTGTATTTGCAATAAATATCAGTTCATGTGTGTGTCAGCCACACAGTTGGGATTTAGGGTCTCGATGTAGTTGGCATCTAAGAATTCTGCCAATTTGTTATTTGTTTGTTTGTGGTGTAGAAAAGGCACCTAAGCTTATGCTTACGATTTCTTTTAGGCTGGGCCAGGCTTTGTTTTTGCCTCCTTGGCCTCGGTTGAAGAGGGATCAGGACAAGTGATACAAAATCAGTTCTTCTACACTCTGTAATGAATCTCATTTTGGCCAGGGGAATCTTGGACAGTAGAGATCATGGTGCAGAACATGATAGGATATCATGGAGAAATACAAAGAGTCTGGGTGTTTGGAAGTCTGGGGAAGTCTACACAGTTACCTAAGTAGGGTATCTGATGACTGTAGGTACCTACCAAACCAATGACAACAAGGTAGAAACCTTGGCACCTGGGAGGTGCTTGTTGTTCTCAGAAACAGGTGGGAGGTACCAGAGACTTTTTTTTTGCTTGCATTTTCTAGTTTAACAGAATGCTTTTTATAATCATTAAGTCCTCGCAAAATTAAAATAGAATACGTAAGAGAAGTCTAAGAGGAGGGAGTGGGGGGAGGGGAAGAGGAGGAGGGAGAGAGCAGTGAGGGAGAGGAGGAGATTGGGAGAGTGGGAGAGAAGGAGATGATTCATGGGAAAGCCAGCCAGTGACTGGTCTTGGAATTCTCCTGACCAGTACACTGCTGTAAAACTCTCCCACCCCCACCCCCAACTCTAGCCAAATGATCCACCTGCAGATTTTAGAATTGCCACTTGCCAGAATGGAATGAGTCAGTTCTTCAAGCAAAAGGGCAGGGAGAAAAAAATTCCAAGTAAGAGGACACAGTACAGAGGCTGGCAAACAGTGAAGGCTCGGAGAGACAGGAGTGAGAAGGTGGGCCTGGGCAAGGACAGAAGAGTGGATGAAGCCAGCAAGAGAGTTAGGGCAAAACCATGAGGGCAGAATATGAAGACAGTATCACTGAGTTCATTTGGTGGCAACAGCAGAGCACCTGGGTGGACTTTCGTGTTGCCTGAGGAAGTCACCATCATGGCTCTGCATGAGAGAAGACAGTGAGAGGCCATACTGTTGGCTCTGGCCATGCGTGTAAGGCACAGACCAAACTTTGGGGGGCTTAGCTAGCTAAACCTCCTCTCTATTGCCGAGCCCAATGTCTGGGAGCTCCTACGCCAAGGGTAAGCTCTGCTCCTGCATTTATCAACTCTGAACCAGGCAGACTCTAGGGCAGGTTCTCAGAAAAGATGACGGCCCATTTGGTGCCCATTGTTCCAAGCTCAGTGCTACTAGACTTAAGGAAATACTGAGGATGGAACTTTCACGTAACAGGGCCACAAGAAAATTGAGTGTATCTCAAGCTACCCATAGGTTTCTGTCCCTCCGTGGAATCCCAAGTTGCCCTGCCTGAATTCATCTGTTTCCATTTAAATATGTCCAAATGTAAGTGTACACATTCACACTTACACATTTAACGTAAGACTCCCCCCCCCTCCCTGCTTCTCTGGTTCTGTTATGGAGAAACCAGGGCCCAAACTCAATTTTAATCAAATACCCATCTACTGCTACAGCCAGTAACTGGATTTCTCATCTGCCATTGTCTTTATCAATCACCTTTTGTGACTTTAATCAGTTTCTGTCTTTCTGCTTTGACCTGTGCTGTATGGTCAGGTCCTCCCTGTTCTGTTTTTATTCTTAATTTCTTTTGACTCTGAAGTGGAAATGCATTATTTGCATTTTCATGTTTCAAAATGCTTCTTTGAGTAGCATGTTTATTTTGCTGACAAAAGGCATTTTGAGCAAGATGCATGTCCTAGGGGCATTGGTGCTATTGCTGGACACAACTCAAAGGGCTTTGTGATGGTATGTTAGTAGTATTTCCTTTTGCTGTGATAAAGTACCTGGGGGAAAAACAACTTAAAGGCAGAAATGGTTTACTTTGGCTCACAGTCCAAGGGTACAGTCCATCAGGGCAGCAGGAGCCTGGGGTGGCTGGGCATATTGCAGGAAGCAGAGCGAGATGAATGATAACGCCCAGCTTGCTTTTTCCTATATGTTCAGTCCAGGAACTCGGCTCGGACAATGGTTCTGTCTATATTTAGGATGTATCTTCCTACTTCAATTTACGTAAACTAGATAATCCCTCAGAGAAATGCCCAGAGTATGTCTTTTCAGTAATTCTAGGGTTCTGATAATTAATTTTATATGCCAACCTGACTAAACCACAGTATCTAGGTAGCTGATTAAATGTGTCTTTATGTTGTTGGGAAGGCATTTTTGAGATAAACAGATTGTTCCCTATAGTGCCATGGGCCTTATACAATCAGCTGAAAACCTTTAGAAGATAGACCTTCTCCCAAGGAATTCTGTAGGGCAGGCTGGTTTCATGCTCACCTTGCTCTACCACTGTCTCTCCCTGTGAAGTCTGCTCATCCACCCTCATGATTTTGGATTTGTCAATTGCCAGAATATTGTGAATCAGTGTTCCTTGTGTCTGTCTGTTCTCTCTCTCTCTCTCTCTCTCTCTCTCTCTCTCTCTCTCTCTCTCTCTCTCTCTCTCTCTCTCTCTCTCTCTCACACACACACACATCCCATTATTTCACTTTTCCTTGAAAACCATGATTAATTACATTCTTGCAACGAGTTGTCTTCATGTCTGTATTCTATTCCTCCAGAAAGCTCTCACCTACCCTGACATCTCTCCCAACTTTCTCCCTGCACAGAAACTCTGATGTCACTGAACTCCAATCTTGTTTCCTGTCTTGCTTTTTGCCTTCGGTGGAGGAGAGCACAGTCCACTGCCACCATCGATAAATAGGTACAGTTTGGAAGACACCTGGCTACTCACTGAAAGTTTTCTACAGTCTTCAGTCTTTCCCCGCAGTCCTTCTTTTCAATGTGTTACGAACCTTCTTGTCCTCTGAGGTCTCTCCAAGTTCACTATTGAACTTTGCTGGATCTTGAAGCCAGCAATACATTTCACAGATTTTACTCTGTCAGGATACAGTCAGGCACTGGGCACTACCATGCTTCCCAAAGACATACGTTCTTGGTGAATATGCATGCATCAGCCATAGCCATCATTATGGTCAATTAAGGCAGGCTGATTATCTGAAATAGCATCCCTCCTTTTGGTAAACAGGTTCAGCTAGGTATGTGGTCCTTGAGTAGAAGAGCTTTTCCAAGTTCTCCTTATATAGACGTGTGATCATTCAGGAAAAAAATCTGGCCAATAGAACACAAGAGGGAAGGTTATATAGAATTTCTGAGTACAGTATGGAAGCAAAGTTTGGAGTAGGAGTGAGGTCAACCTGAGTGGTTGGCTAATATTGGGACAACATGCCCAGAATTTTCTGTGACTATGACTTAAGTACATTGTGGAGGAAGAAGAAACAAGGGAACAAAAGGAGCCTAAGCCCTTGATGATCTACGGGAGGGACCACATTGCTTTGGAAACACTTGCAGTAAGCTTAGCTTTATTCCTTTTAACGTTAAAGACTCTCCTGAGAGAGAAGTGCAGAGTCAGTCACTGCCATGCAAGTTGTTCCAAGGAAACTGAACCCCTGACTAATTGTGGAAATGGATAAACATATCCCTCAATTGCCAAACATGTTTTCCATGTAATTCCTTCTTACAATGCAAGGTAGGGTGGATGTCTTGCACACCCTGTCAGCCTGCTAAGCCTGCCTGTCCAAACAGAGCTCTCTGTGACTTTACTCCCCTGGCATGTTGGTACACATGCTCCCCCTACTAGAGTTCAGGGCCCAAGCGTGTGGGAGAGATTGAATGCAGTAAGATTTTTCTATCCACAGCAAAGCTAACAGCCATGGGACAGAGGACAGTGAATTTCACTGTGGAATGTTCTGGCTGCTGTGTAGATCTTTTTCCAGGGGATTCCAGAGTTGCAGAGAGATTAAAATTCCTTCAAATGTAGCACAGTAGTTCATGCCACAGTGATAAACACAATCCCAGCAGGGAAAAACAGTGCCTGGGTTTTGCTTATGTATAATTACTAGGTTCTGTGTACTGAGTATGATCTAGTTTACTATGTGATCTTGAAGGGAAATATATGTTCCCTTGAAAGACCAAACAATTCATGTTCTGAAAGCTTGGATGCTGGTTACATTTCTAAGGCTGAGTACTTCAACAAGTGAAATTTTATTTTGCAGAGCCTTGTAACTGTGTGTATTCAATCATTCATTCACCCATTCATCCATCTCTCATTCATACCTCCACCATCCACCAATCACCTGTCCATTCACCATTTATCCTCCTTGAATCCATCATTCACCTGATCATTCATTCGTCATCTATCCATTCACCATACATCTACCATCCACCCTTCTATCACCTATTATCATCCATCCACCCACCACCTATCCACTGTGCATCCATTGTCCATCTAGTCATCATTCATTCATATATCAAACCACCCACCATCAATATATCATACACCAATCATCCATCATCCATCCATCCACTGCCCATTCACTATTCCTCATATATCATCATTTATTACCCGTCTGTCATTCATCCATCATTTACCAATCTACCATCCAGCATCCACACGTCTACCACCTATCCGTTCATTAATCATCTATCCATCTACCTTCCATCCACCACTCTCCCATCCAGCCATCCATTTATCATCCATCCATCTATCCATCCACCTATTCATCTACCTACTCATATACCATCATAAGTCATCTACCTATCATTAATTTATCAGTAGTCAATTTATTTTCTATCTGTCCTTCAACTACCCATTCATCCATTCATCACCTATCCGTCATTCATTGATCTTTCTACCAGATCTCCATCATCCATCTATCCGTTCGTCATCCATTGATCCATCCAGCCTTCATTCATCCAGTTCAAGATTTATTAAGCATCAAGTTTTGCAGGTTCTGTGTACACAAAGATGAACAAGACATATCTTTCCCTGATAGACAGTTTGCCACCTACCTGAGATTTAAAGTAAGTGGTTGGGATGGTATTTGAAATGTCTAAAAGCATAAAGAAGATACATATAATTAATGGAATATCTTGAAGTCATACCTTGTAAGCCTCTGTTTTCCTTTCTCTAAGAATGCCATTAGAAGCCAATGGAGAGACAGGCATGGAACTTGTCAGCTGGTTTACTATAGCCACTGGCAGTAGCTGATGAATCATAGACGGGCAGTACCATGAGGGCAGAGGCATCCTTAGGAGGTTAGTTACAGAGAAGGATCATGTAGCCTCCCCTCTTTAAGACCCCTTATACCTAAAAGTACCTCAGGCCACAGACACCTGTCCTTATGGTTGGAGATGTGTCTGTCAGCCAGAAGAGGAATTTCAGAATTTTATTGAAAGCATTTTGCAACAGGAAATCCTTCTCTCTTTTTCCCCTTGCTGGTGCCAGCATAATTTAACTGTGATTTAATAGCTCCTTTCATTTACTTGCTAAATTATGCCTTTCCATCACCTTCCCTTTGGGTTTTCCCTCCTTTTGGTCCTACAACCTCCCATTATTTATTAATGCCCCATAATACATGATGGAGGCAGGCAGAACACAGTCGTTTCCCAGTGATTTAGGGGCTCCTGGCAGTGAGACAGCAAGAATTGGGTACATGTGCTTGGAGAGAGTCTCTCTCCTGTACTTGCCTTTTTAGAGTAGGGTCAGACAGCTCCAAGCCAACTTCTATGTGGGCTCTCCCCGTCCCCTTCTCAGCCCACCCCCTGGCCATTTTCCTGCTTGGAGCAGATTCAAACACTTGGCTCAGAATGATGGATGAGTCACAGTTCATGTTTTTTTTCCAAGATTCAACTGCTAGAATGAGCATGCTCCTCAGAGCGTGCTTAACTGAAGGAGAGCTACGTGGTAACTCAGTTTCCCTTTAAGGAAGGAGCCCTGGGTGAGACTGGGAGATTTTTAGACAGTTCAGATCTTGAAAGGGTCAGTTCTTGAAAGACAAGCTGGGGAGATGGTTCTTGTAATTCTCATATGGAGTAGCTTAGAACATTTGACTGCCAGGCCGAGTTGCAGAGGAGAGGGGCCCACTTGGGTGCAGAGTGTGTGTTTCACGACCTTCTCAAGAGTCTAGATCTGTCACATCTGGAGCATCAGAGAACCCCCCCCCCCAGGAACTGGCAAGAGGCACATTGGGCATTCCCCACCTGGCTCTTTTCCTCATCTCTTCAGTGCTTCAAGCGACACTAGCACACATTCTTTCACTTGGTAGATGAAGTTGGGACACCCCGCGGGTATCGAGCAGAAGGGCCTGCTCAGTAGCATACAGAAATGGGCTGAGCTTCCTTCGTGACTAAGCGTTTATAGAGCAGATTAATATTTCATCATTTGGAGATGATAATGCAGTCAAGCTCTCAGCACAGTGCCTAGCATTTAAAATGTTTGCCTTCCCTCTCACTATGGGCCTTCCAGCTAAGACAGAGGTTGCAAGGCAACTTTGGGTCGCATGCACAGAGTAGCCAGGAGGAGACTTGATCTCCCGTGTAGGTTCTCCAGTAACTGATCTGAAGACCCTAAAGGAGCCACTCAGCTTCTCTGGGCGCCAGTCTTCTCTGCCGGCTTAGATAGGCTCTGTGATAACTTCCTGCTATAACTGCCCCCAGGCTGCTTTAGTGGAGGCCTGGGAGGTACTCAGAACACAGAGTGGTAGTCACTGAAGGAAGGGGTTTAGGGATTACGAGCTCAGTATGCATGGGTTTTGTGATTATTCTATTGGGTAGCAATATCAAGCAGGAAAATCTCTTCTGAGTCTTGGACAGTCCAATCTTTTGTTCCTTTCTCCAGATCGCTGATGTACAAGCTATGCTGGGCCTAGCTGAGGAGCAACACAGTTGTACCAGCAGGCCCTTCTACTCTCCTTCATCCCGAACTGCATGTACCTGTTTCATGGCTCTGGATGGTGGTAAGGGCCTTGGAGCGTGGACATTGCCCCCTGGAGATGTGTCCTGAGGTTTCCCAGGGGGTCTCTGCAGCCATTCTCCATCTGTTGAGCTAGAGAGAGCTCAAGGACAGAGGAGGGGAGTTGAGATGGAACAGCATCTGGGATGGTTATTTTGGCCCTCTGTCCCTTTACTTGAGGTGACCTCCTGCCTCCAGCTCCAGCTGGCAGAGGGTAGCAGACAGAGAGGGGTCTGTGAGGAGGTATCCCTTGCTCAACTCCAATGCACTCCTCTGCTGCAAACCAAGCTGACTTTGTGGCGACCTCTGCAGCCCCCCCCCCTTCACTTCTCTGCAGCGCCTGGCTTTGCAATGACATGCTCATAGTTTCCTTCAGAAGTTTCGTTCATATAGCTCCCAGGCTGGGGACCTTCAGAGGGCCAGGCTGCTCTGTAACTAACGTGAATGTGTAATCTGCCCAAGCCTTGACTAATGCGTTCCTTGCATTATTAAACACAGATTAAATATATATGGATATTTAAATGTAATGTTATTTCCCCAAATCTGGCTTCTTGGTGTTCCTGACTTACGCCTTTTCAGTGCTCATAATTGTCTCAGGGATCATGAATTACAGGCAAGAGCTGCAGCTCCCTTGGCTCTGAAGTCTTTGCCATCCCATTACATTTGTTGAAGAGATGCATCCTTAGTCCTTCCACCCAGAAAATTACTGTGGGGGTTCTTCTCATGGGGATGTACTTTTCCCCTTCTCAGAGTTTACTCCCTGCCAGACAGTAAAGGCTGAGCTAGCTGGAGCCTTGCAAACTTGTAGTTGTGTCTGCTCTGCAAGAAAGTTTGTATCTCTGGTAAGTCACCTAATAGTAAGCTAAACCAAGCTAGTGTCCCTCTGCCTACTGTCCAATAGTCACATGTCCTATATGGGTGCTTGCAGGACCCTAGTGAACACTGATTTTTTTTGGTGTTTCATTGTGGTGTGTGTGTGTGTGTGTGTGTGTGGAGAGAGAGAGAGAGAGAGAGAGAGAGAGAGAGAGAGAGAGAGAAACAGAGACAGAGACAGAGACCTACTGGTCAACCTTAGATGTCAATCTTCAGAGTCCTTTACCTTGGTTTTGGGGGTTTGGGCTTTCACTGGCCCAGAGCTCCCCTTTTAAGCGAAATGGGGTAGTCAGCAAGTTCCAGGGATTCATTCACCTGTTCTGCCTCCCCCGAGTCAGGTTACAAGCACACACCCTCCCTGGCTCTTTTACGTGTGCTCTGGGGATCAAACCCAGGTCTACATGCTTGCTAGACAAACACTATTGATTGCACTAGCTCTCCAGCTCCCCCCATCCTTTTTTTAATGATTGGATTTCTTTGGTAGATTATTGCTTAATGTCTCAGCCTAACACCACGGGGAATTTCTACCCATGGAAAGTAGCACCTTACAGCCAAGGCTATCAAATTACTCTACTCTTGCCTGCCCCAGATTCCTCTTCATTACAAGGCAGGATAGAGGATAGGTCATAGTTACCTTCAAAGCATTTGCAGGTTCTACCCAGAGGAAGCAGGAGAATTGGTTGCCTGGTTCCCTAATAAGCTATGCAGCCAGTTTCCCTGCCCCACAAAAATGCACTTCTCTCTTAGTCTTGGTTAATGTTTCCTGCCTGCTACCATTGGGTCAATTGAACAAGAAACTGGGCTTGGGTTTCTTATGCTTGTCTGTACTGGTATATTGGATATGATACATCGGCTACTGATCTCTTAGAGATGTTTTCCACCCAGCAATAGCTGACTGCATTTCTTCCCATCTCCTCTTTCAGTGATTCCTTAAAACCAGTCATTGAGAAACATTTACACCTTAGGAATCCGCCACAAAACAATGTAGCAAAGTTTTTACCCCCACTTGGGAAACTGATTCTTAAAACTGAAAAGCTCTGCTGGGCATGGGAGACATAAACTGTCTTCTAAGCCCCCTTCCCTAGAGGTAGAAACAAAACTAGTGTGCCACTCAATTCTAGCCTGAGTTACATGCGGAGACCCTGTCTCAGCCCAGACCCTTCGCCACAAGGAGCAAAAACAGCCACACACTGTTGCAAACTCTCTCTTTAAATATTTAAATATGGCTGAGTACATGGGGTTAAAGGGTGATAGCCCCTGTGGCTAAACTCAGAACTCATGTCAGCTCTGAGCTTCCTGGTTTGCCTGTAAGGTTATAATCTCTGCCGAGTACCACAGATTTTCACTTGTCTGTAATCTTGCACAGCCGAGTACCACAGATTTCCACTTGCCCCTCATCTGTAATCTTGCACGGCTGCTATTATTTATTCCCACAGCTAAGAACTACTCTATCTCAGACCCAGACTTCCTTGAATTGGGAGTCATGGGAGTTGTTAAGGAAGGAAATTTGGTTTTCAGCTTTCCAGGACAACTTTTGACTCTTAGCCTCTTCCAGGTGGCCTAAGGTTTGCCGAGGAAAGAAGGATGAAAGGGTTGGACCTGGGCACTGTGGGTTTCAAGGAGCAATACTCGGCTGGACCAACTCCCGCTGCAGCCCACTTACGGGCTGGATTCTGAAACACCCACAGAAAAGAAAAAGGCCATGCTTGGTGGTCATGACACACAGCACCCAGTACAACACCAGGAAGCTTCTGTTTTTATTCCCTTGGGGCTGGGAGGTCTTTACGATAGATTGCTTTTCGTTGTCCTCAGTAATATACAGTGTGCATCTTGGGACAAGTCAGGGATTTGGTAAGCAGTCCCCGATAACTTTCGTGACTGTGGCCTGTAGTTGCGGGTCTTCAGAGGGGTTTGCCCGCACCCCCATCCCCACTCTGAACTCTGTTTTATTCTATGTGCTTCAGTCAACGCCCTACCCAGGCTACTCAAAGGAAGGGAGGGAATTCTCAAGATGTGGGGACGCAAAGGGGAGAGAGGCTATAGCAGGAGGGAATCCAGCCTTTGTGCTTCGCAGTTCCAACTCTTCAAGGGCTGTTCAGCTCAGGCAAGCAGGGAGTTAAGGTCTAAGGAGAATGGAATTTCCCCTGTGGCTGTACAGACTTGTTTTAACCACAGGAACGAACACAAGATGCGACTTGTTCCCTCTGCTATTGTCTGAATCCCCTTTCCCTCCAGCAGGCAGCCGGGCTAATGTGTGACATTTCTCCAGGCATCCAGAGTGCTCCCTGCCCTTCTCTTTATGGTTTTTCTTCTGCCTTCCCCCTAGATACTCACTAACCTCACCTTCAAAGGGTTTCAATAAGCCAGGGCTGTCCTCTGTGGACTGGACAGAGAAGGCATGTGGATTCGGGTTATTTATTAATTTTTAAGGCGTGTGTCTCCCATACTTTCTGTGCCATCTCCTGCAATTCCTTCTGGCAGTCTCAAAATTCCACCATTATCTCTTGCCAGTCCCTAAGTGGGGTGATGGGCATCAGACGCAGGGCAGGGCTGAATCACTCCATGAGGAGCCGCCCGTGCTGGCTGGGACTCCAAGATGCCCCGCCGGTACACTGCAAAGAGCAGCACTTTTCCTCTCAATTAATTCCTTTTGCCAGTCCCTCAAGCACTGAGTCCTTCCAAGCCTTGGTTAGAGGTCTTATTTTATGGATGCGTCAGTCGTCTAGACTCTGCACAGCTCAGGGGAGGCCTCTACCCAACCCCAGCACATTCCCACCCACTAACTAACCTTGAATACCGGGGAACTCGGCTTCTCTCCCAGACGATGGGATAGACAAAGGGTGTCAGAGAGGGATTATGCCACAGTCCTCTCCCCTGACTTCTCCATATCCCTGTTTTACCTTTTCACCTTATTTATTTATTGGCCTGGTTCCAGTTCTCTTTGTATCCCAGTACGACCGACCAGTGACAAAAGAAAAGCCAGCGTGCTGTGGCATCTCAAGGGAGCCTGGACCTGGGGGCTCACTTCTCCTTGCCTTTGCTGTGATAGAAAAGTCTTCCTGCAGACAGTTTTCTTTAAAAATTCTCTTTAAAGCGGCATTAGGAAAACTAAACTGTATTTCTTTCCAGAGCATTCCCATTGGATAAGGTGCACAGAAAGTTCAGTCAGAAGCCAAACTTCGGTTTCAAATATAAGACACCTTTGTTCAAATTATAATCATAATGATCCAATGTGTTTGTGATTTAATTATTTGGAATTAGAGTAAAGAAAGACATCCTGTAATTACCACTAAACTTATGTAGAGGCATAAATCTAATAATTAAACACTTCCAGATTTCATTCAGTGAGTAGTGAAATGGAAAAATCACCATGGATCCCCTTCCATGCTTGTAAAGGGGGTTCTAGAACTATCAGTGGATATCAGTGGAAACATCTCAGAATCCTTGCATGTAAAGTACTCTTGTCAGCAAAATCAAAATCCCAGGAGCAGGGTGTCTGAGCAGCCAAGGTTTGATAGCAACTGGGTGTGAATGACAAATTATTCCTTCTAGAGAGAGGGAGAAAGAGAAGGGCAGAGTGGAAGGGGAGAGGGGGGGAGGGAACAGGAAGAGGGGGAGATAGAGGAGTAGGAGGGAAAACATTAGGATGGGAGAGAACAGGGAAGAGAAGGAAGACCGGGAGAGAAGGAAAAAGGGGAAAGGAGGTTGTTAAGACTTGGGAAGGAAAGAAAAAACAATTCTGACCAGATGCACAAGACTCCTTTCCCAAGATTATAAAGGCAGTAAGGAAGTGGGAAGATTCCCTAATCTGTGAAGCTGTCTACAAGACCTTTTGAGAGTTCCAAAGTTTCCTCTTTTGTGATTTATCACCCATGATGGGGTGAATTTTTCAGTCATGCAGCTGCGTTTAGTTGTCCCTGCTCCTGTAAGTAGCTCCCCACTCAGAATGCTGTAACTCAGTAAGCTCATTGGTTCAGCAAATTAAACATTGGTGATACATTTCTTTGGTTCCTTATGTGGAATAAGTAGACCTTTGTTCATGTATTCCCCAGGAACGTTCATCTGTAAACTGGGAATGATCAACACACAAGGAGAGTACACAGAATACTGGCAGCCTGGCACCCAACACTA